GCCGTCACAAGCCGAAAGTTGGCCTCTGGCAACTCTCCGTCACCACCTACATCGACTGCTTGTGGCCACCATCTTGTCTTGGCACTTGCCGCCTGCTGCTACCACCAAACCCGCACGCAGCTCACTGCCGCTACTGAAAGCAGCACCACCGCCATCGCCTTTCATTTAATTCTAATAGATTAAGTACTACAATATGCCCAAGTCATGCCCAAGTCTTTTAGGTCTACCTCTGCCTTTCTTAATATAAGTCGAATCTAAAACATCTACTCTCATAATCTTTCTTAGCATGCTTTTGATCAGACTGGGACAAATGTCAGGTATTGTATAAATATTTGGATTCAACTTAGTCACTGGCAAGTACAAATCATCGGCTGACAATACACAATCCATCAAAATATTTATCAGAAAAAAGAAAAACTTGGGAATATGGAGTTTAAGAGGGAGGATGAATAATATCCAAACTAGTTCATAAAGCCAAAAGCAAAGGAACATCTACAAAACAACAGCACTCAAAACCCACTGAACAAATTGTAAACTGAAACCTGATGATACCTAAAGAAGGAAAAATTAACCTTATAGCTGTGAAGATGGAGCTGACAACTGTGAGCCCTCTTCAACTCTTGAATCCAATCTTCCTTCTCTCATGATGCCATGAGTTAAACCGCATCAGTTGTGCCGAAAACCTCGTCGCGCCCAACTCAAGCAGTCATAAGATGAATCTGGAGCTTCTGCAATCTGAGAAGCACAGACCCTTGCAAAGATGCAGGAGAGTGCAGCAAGTACTATTATCACAAACATGACAGCTAAGAACAGACCAATCGATCCAGAGCCATGGTAGGAATTAACTGAGGCTTGATTTTGGTATCCTGGAAATGATGTAATAGGTGTAGTTGAGGCCATTGTGTGTGTGTGTGTGTGAGAGCGAGAGAGAGAGAGAGAAAGAGAGATAGAGGAGGGGGGAGGGGATGGGGGAAAAGAAACAAACGTGGGAGGAAATTGGCTCATGAAAGAAACACTTAAAAGATAATGATAATTGTTATAATAAACCATTTAGTCTTTTTCCGTTTAATAAAACAATCATATCTCTGATAACCTAGAGCATTGAGGGTATCGAGAGAACAAATTCATCTTAAATTCTAGCACATGTCTGATCTCAGTAAGAGTTTTGATAACGCCATCATCTGTCTCAATTCTAACAGTTCCAACTCCAATAACTTTACAGGCTGCATGAAACTTTATCCGAGTCAATATCTCGTTGCCCTTGGTCGAGATTCACACCCAGAGGAAGAGTCGAATGTTTAACTCATGATTATATCTTCATTTCTTTCATATTCGTTCGTCTTCTACTTATAGGTGTAGAACTCTATTAATTTGTTCATGTCTGTAGAATAGAACTTGAAAAATTAAGTCTTTTTCTACTTAACAAAACCACATAGAAATCCTTAATTCTATTAGTTATTTCAATTGTTCTTGAATCGATTTGGCATATTTAAACAATAATGATCTAAGTTATAGCTATAGTAATCCAAAGGCTTACATGATTCGATTTGTATAAAGCTAAAAAAAAGGGAGAGTCTGCCTTTATGAGTGAGTGGATAACCACATGGAAAGATGGAAAGTAGAAAAGCATATAAAGTGACGATTAAGCAAGCAATTAGTGAAGTATGGATCTGTCAGAAGACTTCTTTTCTTCTTCATGCCATAATGCTTTTTTTTATGTTGAGTCAAGTGATGGAAGAGGTTAAAGGATAAAGCATAGATCTTCATGTGTTAACATGGCTGGGCGAATAACTGTGTTGCTCGATAGCATGGGCAAATAGTTTTGTGAGGTCCTCCCGACAGAACCATTTGGTTGAGTTAATTATGCAAAATGGTCATGCTTGTTCGACGATTTGACTAACTCCCCTTAGCCTAAGGATTTTTTATCATATATGACATTTACATACATACCGCCCAATTTAGTCCGCGGGACCAAACTGTTTGGTTGAGCTAATTATACAAAATGGTGAGGCTAGTTCGACGATTTGCCTGACTTTCCTTTTGAATTTGGACTAAGGATTTTTGGTCATAACATCTAAACTTATGTATTTACATACCTAACACCTAAACTTCATTTTTTACGCATATAGACCACCCAAATCCTTCATATCATATAAAAGATACCGCTATTTTAACTTTTAAAGCGAGAAATAAGCATTTTCATGGGGTTGCATATATGTAAAAATTGATGTTTAAGTGTTGTAAATGTAAACACATAGGAATCAAGTTTGAAGCTGGACCAGATTTAGAGCTAAAAAGAACAAATAGGTGATGGCTATTATGATTTAGGAGTTCTTTGGTTAGATATCATCTACTATAAATATCACATTATTAGATAATTTTTCACATTATTTAATGACATATTTGAATAATAATTTAAGAAAAATAGCGTTTTAAATTCCGTTATGATTAATCAACATTTCAGTTTAATTTATAGCATCTAATATCAAACTATCTAATTTAAAAAAAAAAAAGAAAAACAAACAAAAAAACAAATAATACTGAATGTCTAATCATCATCGATAAATAAAAAACATTATACTGCATCAATACAAATACAATCCAGATGAAAGTTGAGAATGAAGAATTAGAAGAAAGAATCTAGGGTTTACCGAAATGGCTGAATCAAAAGTGATTTCGTTTGTTTTTTCTTGTTGGAAAAACGGGAGATGTGGATGAATCGTTGCTAGAACTTGCGATTGGATTGATTGATGGATTTGGAATTGGAAGCCATGCCTGGTAAGATTAGCATTTTTAAGCACTGCTCCGCCGACCGGAAGCCGATTCTATTTTCCGATAGCCGCCGCGCTCTGCCAACCACACACACACACACTCTCTCTAGCCGATTCTATTTTCCGATAGCCGCCGCGCTCTGCTCAACCACACACACAACCACACACACACACACTCTCTCTCTCTCGCTCTCGCGCGCGCGCTCTTTTTTCACGGGGGTTATGTACATATACCACCCAATTTCTATCTATTTTACATGTCAACATCTTGAATTTGCTTTTTTTAGATTTATACCCCTCAAAATTTTAATATCACATCAAAAATATATTTGTTTTAAGTTTTACAAACTTAAATACACATTTTCATGTATAAATAAGATGTCATGTATGTAAAAATTGAGGTTTAGGTGTTTATATATGTAGATAGATTGCAATTTAGTAGTATGTATGCAAGTCTTCTTTTTTTTTGGGAAATTTACATATAAAATCTTATGTATTTACGTATGAGACTCTTAAAAGTTTGGCATGTTTCACTCATTTCTTTCTTGGGGAAGTACGGTCAACTTCTTCGGACTTCAGAACCGTCTGTTCGATCGCCTTTGAACAAAAGAGGTTCAGGAGTTCATTAGGACTTTTGTTAAAATGTATGTTTCACTTTTGAAAATTAATTGTGATATTTTTTATATGATAGTAAAGATTTGAGGGGCTCGTATATAAATATGGAAATTTAGCCTTTAGTTATGTAAATACATAACCTTTTTTTTTATGGATTATATTCTTCTGGGACATTAAGATTCATGCCACAGTTCTTATGAAAATTTATATAACTTAAATATAGATCTAAATTATTATATTTATAAAAAAAATTTATATCGCATAAAAAGTTAATTACTAGACATGTAAATACATCGGAATTGGGTGGCATGTATGTAAATGGTGCTGCAAGATTAGCATACTGAATAAACCACATTTGATGATTTTTATAATGCATCATTGTCATAGTAACGGTTATATTTACCGTTTTTTTTTTTTGAAATAATTTTATTTATAATATTTAACTTTTGATTATTTATAAAAATAACATCTTCATGTGAGAATTTATATATGTAGCACTCCAAGCATTGGCATTAATAAATCTAGTGTTCTTTTTTGTTTTTTATCAAATAGTCAAAAACAATGATATTTACAATTTATGCATAAGCAACTAATTTTACCATCTCACACAAATCTAAAAGTATTTTTTAAACAATAAATATTTTGATTCAAATTAAAAATGAGTTGAAACTTTGATTTCAGCTAAATTTTTGGTCAAAACTGATCACCTTGACGAGACGAATTCAATGGTACCAAAATTAATCTAATCTAAAGATGAATCAAGCCCGGATCAAATCGTTGAACCATTTTTTAAGTCATCGAATGGTTAACTTGAGGGTTAGAAGTACTCCAATTTTGATGTTATCTATAATCAAATCGAGAGTCACGACGAGAGGAATCCAAGGAGCTCAAGATCACCCATTTCAAAGTCATTATGATCAAGAAAAATTAATGTGAGTCATTTAATTGGGTGATTACAAGAATTATTTGCAAAAAGACAAAAATGCTTCTCTCTCATTAATTATGATTTAAAATTTTTTGTCTTTTATGAATATGTAGATATCAAAATTTAGTGTTGAATATATATATATACATATAAGTATATATAAATTCAATTCAATTTCTTCCCTATTGTCATTTTCATTTTATTTTCTCCACAATACTATTTACAAAATCCCTAAGAAACGATTTGATGTATTTACACGTGCCATGATCAAATCATTGAGAATTTAATAAAAATGAAAAATATGGGCTGGAGTTTTAGCATGACTTTTGATATTTGATTGAGAATTTGAGAAATGGATGAGGGAACTAGATTTGTAAATAGCAATATTTAGAGTGTTGTTTAACAAATAAAAAATTAAAATATCAACATTTTCATGCAACATACATGCATACCACCTAATTCCTGTATATTTACAAATCTAACATCCAAATTTTGCTTTTTTATATCTATATGTTAACCTTTAAAAAGTGAAATACACACTTAAATGCATAGAGAAACTGATATGTTTGTAAAAATTGAAATTTATGTGTTAGATGTGTAAATGCGTAGGAATTGAGTGACATGTATGCAAATTTTCCATAAAATATTATTCTGCTGCAACACAGGCTAATTGTTCATGATTCAAAAGCTCAAATAAGTATGGTCACATTAAGGAATGCAATAAAAAGAAAAATTTTTTAGGAGAACCAGCAGCATTTGGAGCTCAAAAGCATCATAGGCAGAAATAAGAGAGGGTCTGTTATGAAATTATTTCCTTAGTCTGGACTTACAAGGAAAGTAGATTATGCAAAGCAGCATGTCAAGGAGCAGAGAAGGGGCAGCTGGGCTGCAATTTCAGCTCCAGGTTGTTCTGCAATTTTAGCCGAAATGGAGGGGCTGTCTCAAGAACTCTTCCATCTGCTTCGCCCTCGTCTTTATCGACATATCGAAGACCTTCTGATCAAACTCAATCACCAGTCCTCCCAGAATTCTGGGATCAATCTAAATGTCGGGTAGAACAATTCAAACAGACAGTTAATTCTCATGTGAAAGCTACACTAAACTTCATCGATTCGATCGAAATAATCATCTTGAATGGACCATGGAAAATAATCATCTTGAATGGACCATGGAACATATACGTCAAATTAAAAGGCCTAGATGGACGTGCTTCGATCAGACATTATTCAACTAGAATCAACCATGGAATATAGACATCAAATTGAAAAATTGTGCTCGAACACAATGATTGTATATAAAGTAAGGAATTCCAATGTGTGAGATTCGAGTGTTCACCCAACCGAAAAAATAAAATAAAATAAAATAAAATAAGAAATTTATATTCGTAACACAATTCAAATGTATTTACATATCCCAAACTTTCATATTTACAAACATTACACTTTGGCGCTTTAAAACTTTACATGAAAAAGGTGGATTTCACTTTTAAAAGTGGTAATAATGCTATTTTTTATGTGATATTAAAGATTTGAGCGTTGTTTGTGTAAATATGAATGTTTAAGTCTGAGATATGCAAGAAAATAGCAATTGTGTGCAATGTATGCTATGTATGTATACATGGAAGTTTAGGGATGAGATATGTAAATACATGAGAATTGTGTGATGCGCATGTAAATTTCCCTAAAAAGAAGCAAAACAGGATATAATCTCATGCTTCACCGTCATCATTATTATCATTCATCAACAATGTTAACATTATTCCTAATAATTTTGGGTCATCTTTAGGGCTCGAGGTGCTATTCATTCGAGTCCGAGTCCTACATAAACAATTTTATTGATGCATTTTTGGTTTTACATGACAAAAATCACATAGTTACTTCGATCGAAATAATCATCTTGAATGGACCATGGAACATAGACGTCCAATTAAAAGGCCTAGATGGACGTGCTTCGATCAGACATTATTCAACTAGAATCAACCATGGAACATAGACATCAAATTGAAAAATTGTGCTCGAACACAATGATTGTATATAAAGTTAAGAATTCCAATGTGATAGATTCGAGTGTTCACCCAACCGAAAAAATAAAATAAAATAAAATAAAATAAGAAATTTATATTCGTAACACAATTCAAATGTATTTACATATCCCAAACTTTCATATTTACAAACATTACACTTTGGCGCTTTAAAACTTTACATGAAAAAGGTGGATTTCACTTTTAAAAGTGGTAATAATGCTATTTTTTATGTGATATTAAAGATTTGAGCGTTGTTTGTGTAAATATGAATGTTTAAGTCTGAGATATGCACAAAAATAGCAATTGTGTGCAATGTATGCTATGTATGCTATGTATGTATATATGGAAGTTTAGGGATGAGATATGTAAATACATGAGAATTGTGTGATGCGCATGTAAATTTCCCTAAAAAGAAGCAAAACAGGATATAATCTCATGCTTCACCGTCATCATTATTATCATTCATCAACAATGTTAACATTATTCCTAATAATTTTGGGTCATCTTTAGGGCTCGTGGTGCTATTCATTCGAGTCTGAGTCCTACATAAACAATTTTATTGATGCATTTTTTGGTTTTACATGACAAAAATCACATAGTTACATTTATCACTTATGATTGCTCCAGAATCAAATAACATATCATTGCTTGAATGGTGTTAGCCCAGAATTAAGTACGATAGGCAATAACATACAATTCAACCTCAATACAAGGAAGAAAATTTAGATCAATTTTAATAAAAAAGAAGAATTTGTTATCAAAATAACAAAAATAATACCTTCTGCTCCAGTTTAACAGTCTTGCCCGCTCCGAGGATGTCTTGCAGTGTTTGCTTCAGCTCTTTTTCCTCTTGCTCAGGAAGTGGCTGAAAAGAAAAATTATAGTAAATGAAACATGCGGCGGAAGAAGAGAATAGCAATAAGAAGAATGTTGAAATAGATTTATTAAATAATAAAGATGCAACTGGTAACAAAGATGGGAATGTTGGAATAGATTTATTAGACCATAAAAGATAGTGATAAATGAATACAGTAGGATGGTACCTACAAAAGGTTAATTATTTAAAATTATAAGAAAAAAATTAGGTGATTTGATCATGTAGAATAGAAGGAAAGAAGGCGTACAGATAAGGGAATTAGATACAACTAATGAAGAAGGCCTAGAAAGAAAAGAAGAAGTGGACAGAACATAACATGGTGTACAATATTTGGAGAATTCTAATACATATTTGAAAGACTGACAAATAATTTTAAAAAATAAACTAGTTTGATTATCATACTGAAATTGATAATATATGGTGTGAGTTTGCATTTGAATACATTAAAAGATTTTAAACTTCCAAAACATGTGTAAAAGTATCTGCGCCGGCATTAATGAGGGCTGCCACATTCACGTCCTATTTTTGAAGGCCATTCCTAAACAATGATTAAGCATAATGAAAATATAGAGGAAGATTTACATACATACCACTCAATTCTTATGTATTTATATATACAGCACCTAAAGTTGGATTTTTACATACACACCACCTTACCCATGCATGAAAAGGTATAATTCAGTTTTTAAAGGCTAAAGTGGTGGTATTTTTGATGTGATATGAAAGATTTGGGTGGTATAAATGCAAAAAATAAAATTACGTGTTAGATATGTAAATACACAGGAATTGGATGGTATATATGTAAATGCCCCAAATAGAAAATAAACTAGGATGTCATACTTGCAATGAAATGTTAACAGTTTGCCGATAGATATTGAAATATTCCAAGTGACTTCCAGGTTTATGCATGTCATTGTAAGAAATTATTAAATATACATATATATATATATACTAGAACAAAAAGTTCTTTAACACTGAGGCAATAACCTACAGAATCAAGGACTGAATACAGTCTGCAAAATATCAGAAACATTAGCATGCATTCAATGAACATGTATTTTCAACGTAGAAAACCACGGTTGAGAAAGTAAGGGTGTTCGGGTTAACATATAAAGAAGGGAAATTTACATTCATAGCACACAATTCTAATGTATTTATATATCTCACACCTAAACTTCCATATTTACATACATAGTGCATGTTGCTTCAAGCCTAGGCATGAAAAAGTGTGTCTCACTTTTAAAAAGTGACAATTGTGTTATTTTTTGTGGCACTAAATATTTGAGTGACGCGTAATTATAAAAGTTTAGGCGTGAGATATGTAAATACATAAGAATTGAGTGGCCTGCACGTGAATCTTCCATAATCATTCGGAAGTAATATGGGAGAAAGTGCTTACAATCACTGAAGTCACAATGACTTTAACTTCTCCTCTGTGTGCCATAGTCAAATCAACAAATCTCTGAGCAATGCGCTCTAAATACTTTAGCCTCCCGTTCTCAGCTAAGACAACTTCAACAAACAAAAACAAAATAAAAATTTAAACACTTCCTAAAATTTGGAATCATCATATCTAAAAAAATCTAGGAAAATTTCATACATACTACACAAATTTTTTATATTTACATATAACACTTAAAAGTTGATATTTACATTTTTAACACTCTGGTGTTATAAACATATGCATGCCATAATGTATTTAGTTTTAAAATTTCGTAACAGTGGTAAATTTTAAGTGATGTTAGACGTTTGAGTGTTAAACAA